CCCCAAAACCCCAAAACCCCAAAACCCCACTCTCTAGATTTTTTAATAATATAGTTTATATATTAATAAATAAATGACAGAGAATTATTCTTTGAAGTGAACATTGCATATAGTATGTGATATTGAATTTTGAGGAATTCATAAAATAAAGTTTTAATAGCATTACTAATTAAGTTTTAAGAAATCAAAAATATTTTGAGATAAGTTGCTGATATTTTTGGGATCAGAAGAGTAGAGAATGAGCTCTAGCAAAGTCGATATCCTTGATAAAGTGAGGGGTCTTCTGAGTTGAGCAATCTTAGCCCTTGAAATCATCATCAGTGAATAATTTCTCTTAGATTCTTGGGATTTAAACAACTACTGTTGGTTGAGAGTCAACAGTGATGAATTTGAGGTCAAGAGTCTTAGTGCAGAAGTAGAGTACTTCTGATTCTTTGCCTTTGCCTTTAACATCAAGAGTCAGATTGAAGGCATGAAGGTCATGAGTGGCCCATTCCTTTTGTTGAACTCCGAGGTACTGGGTGAGACCTCTTTTAGGGTCTTAAGCAGCAGCGAAGAATTAAGTAAGATTCCATGGGACTGGGTTGTCCATGTGGTTGCAAATATTGAGGTCGGGAATTCTTTGGTAGAGCACATTAGTAGTGAAGTCGACATAGGTGATAATCTCAGTGTATCCAAGGTTGGGGATGTCTGACTTCATAGAGGTCAGCTCCCTATTACCTCTGGTGTCAATCTTCTAGTTCATGGTCATATTCTTGTATTAAGTAAGAGTCTTTGTGGTGGGATCCCAGGTATTTACCACAGCGTCAAGTTCAAAGTTCTCATAGGTATGAACAGTGGGCCAGTCACCATCCTTTAAGGTCTAGATGGTGTGAACTGGCTCAGCATTGACTACAGTTTAAGGACTAATGCTCTTAAAGGCTGTTCTGAGGAAACTGTTGATATTGGCTGATGCAGTTGCTGCTAGGAAAACGGATACGACGAAGAGAGATCTCATTTTAATATTATAATATTGATACTTAATCATCAGAAAGTTTCTCTTAATTTACTTATTTAAGTAATATCTAGAGTAATGGGGTTTTGGGGTTTTGGGGTTTTGGGG